TCCGCCCGGTTGTCCGTGACCTCACGTGTTCATCGACGAGAAAATGCGCTCTCTGTCACTCACTACAGTGAGTACTGAATTTTATATTTTCGGCTGTTTTCCTAGCAATATGTTGTTGATGTGGACTCACCAGAGCCGCGATAATGCGGTAATGGTGAGCTGGGCGGTAATTACTGTGAACGTCAAGATTTTCACGAGTAGATTCCGATTATCGAAAGTTTCATTATAACTAAGAAGACGAAAATTTTTTTCCCCGAGAAAATTCGTTCTATGAAAGGTTGTGCTCCTGATTATTGTATTATTATTTTTTGAAGCACTTTATTCACACAAGCGCATTGTGTAGTTATGATATCCAGGCAAGAATGCTGGCCATAAATTACTGCCGAAAAAATGTCGCTCATATGATATCGAACTTGCGGTGCTTTTTTTCTCTTCCATTCCCGCGCTATTATGCTAAACATTGTTGTTATTATAAAGTATTTTATTGAACTCCACTCATAAGACCAGTACCGTACACATCCGTTGCGTCCTGATTTAATTAAGTTATTCTTACTAAATTAGTCCGTTGATAAGTTTACTTGCGTAAACACAACAGAAACTCTGACTGAGTTCTGCCTCCTCATTAAGCGTTTTTGTCTCGGACAGTCGCTCACTCATGCAGATTGCACCATAATTAAGAGGCATAATGATCGGGAACTACAATTAGTCCTGAAAAGATCATTCAGATCTAGACAAGGAGCCTAAAGCCGTGGCTGAAATCACACAGAGTTTATAATTGTATGCAATTAATTTACGTTGAAACACAGTGGGAACTTAGCAAGCACGTACGAACAAATGTATCCTTAGCTGAAATGTATGGAAATGAAAAGGGCCATGCCTTCAATATCATAAATGTTTCATTGATTCTTCACTAAATTGTCAACAAAGGCTGGTATTTCTAAAATGGAGAAGATGCGGCAAGACACTTTATTAACACGGGTATTTTTTATCAAGAAATATTTTTTCGTAAGTGATGATGCCCCATGGGACATGAAACAGTAAACACAATTTTCCAATCCGAATGATTACTAATTTTTGGTGTATTGCTCCTTCGTTGCTACGTAAAAATTTTTTTACGAAGACTATGAGCTTTATAACTTGTACATAGTTTAGCAGTCCTGAAAGGCTAGAAACAAAGCAGATTAGTGTGGCTATAGTATTGTATTATAGTAGGAGTAATGTGGCTATAGTATTAAACTGGCCCAGATAATCAAGTACATTATCTTCTGGATCGTTATAGCCTAGCTGTGTATAAATCTTCAACCTACGCAAATCAACAGCATAGATGTTTGGACTCGAGGCTCAAACACCTGGTTGCCAGACTGAATGTTCCGCATCCGCCGTATTACTTGTCTTGGAAGCTATGTTTTAATAGTAAAAATTGGCATCGTGATAAATTAACTTCGTTCATACGCCTACCATTTTGGGCTTCGTTATTTCCAGTAATCAATCCTTAAAATTGTGGTCCAGCTGGGGCCATACTTTCAAACCTCGCCAAGTGAACGTAAGTAATTACGCTCTATTTTCTTGTCTATGATTGGTGGATTTTACTTGAAAGGCCGTCAATGATTGGATTTTGAACTTACGATCTCTTAACTTTTTTTTGAAAGTATAGGCCCAGGCAAGGCAAACGTCCAGTGTTGTCGGTACTGCCAAGAAAAGTTGTAACGCTGTGTGCTAAGAAGACTCTTGCGGTGCTGCGATTGCGGTGCTGCGTCAGTCAGAAGATTGCGGTGCTGCGTCAGTCGGCCGTCGAGGCCTGTCATTCAAATGAAGCTCACTTCATTTTGAAACTTTCTAATTTGGACTCCGGCAATCAGTTGCGAGGCAGAAATTTCCATTTGACATTTTCTGCCGTCCGATACTCCGCACGTCGTGTTTCGATGTATGCACTTCGTTGAATTGGGGATGGAATGTTCGTAGTGTGTTGTCGAAATTTTTTCATATTCATAGTAAGGAAACAACTTTTGCATCGCTGACGAAGAACGGTGATGTGCGAGAACCGTGCGCTGCATGACAAGAAGCAAATGCTGCCGGAATTGAATAAGAAATCCTTGGCAAAATTGAGTCTCTGGAGATAGGTACTCGTGATGTGCTTTCCATACGCCGTAAGTGAGATGCTATTAGGTGTTCGAAGATCCTTGCAGGGAGTTATGAACAATGTGATATGTGAAAATATATAATAATGTTCCACTGAAGGAACCACGATGCATAAAATAGTGTTTAGTATTTTACCTAATTTGTAATGCAAATTTGTTACAAGTTAATTAAATGTACAAGATTTTATTTATATAATTGTGTCAAGAAAGTGATTAACATCTCAAACATAGAAGTTTATGAAATACTTTCTGCGCTAAGTATTATAATTTCATATTTATATGTAAACCCCATTAGTGTGTTATCATTTATTGTGAAAATAGATGTTTACCACAGATTTTTCATTTTAAGCAACATGTAAAAGCAATTCTTTCCCTCCTACAGACTTGCAGATTAAGACCAAACGTTTCTTCAACTAGCACTCCCAGTAATAAATTAGCACCCCTCATCAGTGTATTACACTGAGACTTTGGTGATGGTGGAAAAATGAAACCTCTGTACATAATTTGTTTAGTCTCAGTGTCATCATTACAAGTTTATTCATGAGAAAATTATTTTTGAGGGGCGCTGTTTTGATAACCATGCCAAATTTGCGGGCGTTAAATTCGCCCGATTTCTTGCCAGTGCTTGGTTCAGGAGGCGTCTTAACTACAAAACAAAGACGACCCAACATTAGTTGGTAAACTTTATGGATGTTGAACACTGAAAAATGTTATCGCCGTTTTCAGGTCATCTGGAATACAAGCATAAAAACTATGGAGATCTCCTCAATGTGGTCTAAATGTCAAGGATAAAAACTTTGCAGCAAACTTCGTACATTTTTATATCAGCGTGTATGCCAATTCCGACCGTTTCACTTCGAACAGAAGATTTAAATTATTTTACGACTTGTTTGAATAATATTTAACAAAAGAATTGTTTTGGATATATGACTTGTCCTTGTTTATGGTTAAGTTCAATTATTTCACTAAAAAATGAAATGAACAAATCAAAAATTATTTTGTTGCATTGCCGTCGGATTCTTAATCATGGATGTTATGACAAAAATCTTTTAGCGATGATTGAGAGACTTTGAATGACATTCACTGGTAATGAATGGTTTGTTGTCAGAAGATCTAGTGGTAGAAATGAAATTTACTTCAATGAAGTTTTTGCGAAGCTACTTTTGTGCAGAAAAGGTGGAGAGGAAATGAATAACGTCTACCCGCACTTTACTGGTGTCATTCGATTTATGTGTGAGGACAGAGATTAACTTTTAATGAGAACAATTCTCCACGACATCTCCTTTTGCCATGGGAAATCATACAACCAGCCATACCTCATGCTGTATAGTGGAGTAAGAAAAAGAAACCCCAAGTAGAAATGAATAGATAATTCCAGAAAAATTTTTTATTTCTATTTAATTTTTCAATATAATTGAATATTGCGTTTCTTCAGTTGTGTAATAGATGTTTTGGTCGAGAGGTAGACTTAATTAAAACAATTTACCGCTTCATAAATTTTGCAGCAGCTGTCCTAATACGACTAGTGCTTACCAGCCCATCTCATGACCGGCTTCGTCTGCAACCATGAGTCTCGTCGAGCGAGACTTATGCCACTGCGCAAGAAAGTCCCACATTCGAACACTTCTCCAAACTCCTCATACAGACCAGGCACTGTGGACTCCAGGTCACACATGGTCACCGTGCCAGCAGCTACACTGTGACTCGGAAGCATGTGCTTCCTGTAGAGCTTTGATGACCTGTCTCAGGGATCGCCGTCAAGAAAGCCTTCCAGAAAAAATTGAATTTGGTGGTATCGAAGGAACGGTGTGTGGTAGAGCATCGGACAAAGTGAACTTCAGCAACAGTTTCGAACACCTTGACAATTCGAACTTGGTTAGCCGTCACTGCAACTCCAGTGACCTTAACTTCGTTGACCACTTTCGGAACTCAGACGGTGATCGATTTGTTGTTGAAAGTCGTTGGTGTGACGCGAAGTCTCACGCCTTCTTTTTTGGAGGTATTTGGCAGAATACCAGCGAACGTCCAGCAAAAAGCAACAAAGCATACACAACAAAGTTTTGTGCTCAAACTTCAGAGTGTGAGGCGCATGACGAGCTTCCGGAGTCCAGAGAACACATTGAATATTCAAGGAATTTCATTGGGACATCTTTCAGGCGGAAGAATTGTAATGAATGTTATTATTGCTATGATCACTCAAATTTTTACCATTCTTCTGCAACATTACACACCAACGATTTCCTCACGACTAGGATGAAAGATTGTGGGGTTAGAAGTAACTTGCAAAAGAGTCTGTGCAATCAGACCTCAGCAAATTATTATGTTGAGAAACACTCATTTCAACAACTCTCTGGTCGCGCCATTCTTCCTACGTCAAAGCTACTAGCTTCGGGATCACCAAATGTTCAACGAAGTATTACAAGGGTTACTAAGCGGGATGAACCTTACTGCATGGATCACATTAAACTGGCTCATAACTTCCTTTTCATAGCACAATTCATTCTGACGTTGCTAGTGAAAATTGAACAAAACTGCTTCAAATTTTGTGATAGAACACTGGATGCAAGAAAATGCGTCCAAAGACACAATTTTCTGATGGCTGATAACACGAGACGACGTTGGTCGTATCCTCGTTCTTCTAAGGGCAGACCAAAGTTTCATCCCTCATTGATGTTTTACCTGACGCTGATGTTTAGTATGAGCGTATGCATCGCGATTGATCTTCCAGACATAGCTGATCGAAGTGGAATTGGTGAAAGAAATCATTACGGCAGTTATGAACAGAAGGAAATTAACGTTGGTCTTATACTGCCTCACTCTGTCTTCAATTCAAGAATCTACCGCAAAAACATCAATTTAGCCATGAAAGACTTCAACCGTGATTTCTTCGGCGAGTATTCGTTTACGTATGAAAACGTCGAACAGCAGATGTTCCAGTTGACTCCTTCTCCTACTGGTCAGTGTTCTATATAAGTTTATTACTCCCTCTTTTTAAAACATATTGTTGTGATTTCATTTTTTGCGTTATAAATTTGCTTCTAGATTAATTAGAGATTCTCTACCAATCCAATATATAATCGGATGAAAATTTATTTCTAATGCCAGTGGTACCAGAATAAATTACAAACAATTGTTCACATTCCTTCCAATAATTATGAATTCTAATGCAATTTTGAAATGTCTTATATTGATGAGGAATGTTGCCGATCTTACCTTTGATTGCCAACGACTATTTTAATTACACTAAATACTTTTGGCCAATCAATATACCCATAATTTTTTCCTCTATTCGGACCAAATATGATGATAATCGTCACTTGAACGCAATATTTACGCAATTATGAGACTCGAGAAAAAAGCTGGGCTATTTAAAATTATCACACAGTTTGGATGTTGTGCAGAAGTATCCTGATATACAAAAATAAAATCATAAGAGTATCTGACATTGAAACGCATTGTGATTTAATTATTCCACTTTGTGTTTACTGCCAATGCTCTGATACACAACTACATTGTTTTGAATACATTAAATTATTTTAATATACAACGTTAAAATTATATTTATATAAGTTATATGTATAACACGTTAAAATATTTTATGTCGCACTGGCGAAAAAGTTTTTACTTTAGGATCTGTCTTTGAACGGTTTTGAAGCCAACAACAAACAGGCTCATTTACGTGCTTAAAGTTCCACTCGAAGTTCGAGCCGCGATGAGAAATATCTCAGAAGATGTTGCTATGAAACTGAGTTCTTTGTTTACAAAATACGAATGCTTTTATAAGAATGCTCTATGTTACATTGCTCAACATTAGCATTTTTAATATTTTGTGTAGAAGTATAACGAAATTTTGTTCAGTATGAACAAAACTTACTTTATTCTTGACTAGAATTTTCTCTGTTATGAATATTGTTCATCTCTGCTTAATTTCGGGAATATTTCGAACGAACGGAGCTACTTTAACAAGTTACTTCATCATAAATTCTTACCGAGACAATTTTAAGTTTCTTCTATTTTTTAATGTCACAGCAATCCTGGATGTGTTATGCGACCGATTCTTGCCGAAGAAAATCTCCGCCATCCTGTACGTAACGAACGACGAGACGTACGGACGCAACACCGCATCGTCGCAGTACTTCCTCCAGCTCGCCGGCTACCTCGGTATTCCTGTCATCGCCTGGAACGCCGATAACTCTGGCCTCGAACAGGTCATTTCCGGCAGCTGATTTGCCCAGGAACTTGCATATAAACTTTCCGGGATAAAGTACATAACAAATTATGTCCTTTATGGTTTGCTCATACACACCATTTTTTTTTTGGTTGAAATTGGAAAATTTTAGATTATTTCGGGGTCATATGTACTTTCAAACTTGCTTCCAATCGACATCAAAGCTCCGATTATCTAACTAGCATTTGTCTAGGCTTCTTAACAACTAGTTGGTTGTGTATGTATTCCAATAATTCTTGTAATAATAATCATCGTCGAATCGTTAAACTGAACAGGAATATGAAGGTTTTAAACTAATTTAACGCCGAGTACTTATTTAAAGAAAAAGTAGAAGGAGTTCTACATTAGTGTAGAACTGCTTTCCAGACTATTATGAGGGAAAAACGTTCAAATATTGATTCATGGACCGGAAAATTCATTGATAAAAAATGAACGAAATCTCATGAATAAATTACCCTCCATCAGTGTCTTACTCAAATCCTGGGAGTAATACCTGCAGACTTAATTACCTATTTTCCCACGTATTCCACCGAAAAGACTAGATTAAAGGTTTATATAAATTTTATAAAATAATGCTAATATTTCTCTAATAATTAATCGGTAGCGAATTAAATTTCTAAATTTGGTAACGATATGAAGTTGTAAACCGTCCTGTCATTTGATCACTCTTTCAAACATGTAATTAATTATTTTCTACATCTTAATCCGCCGTTGATATCCCTAATACATTAACCATGCACGTCCGCATTTATATTAAATCCAAAATATTTTGTTTGCAATTACATTTAAATTGACAATACTCCTCTTAAGCTCTCTCAATCCTGATCAAACTTTAATCTCGAGTTTATGCAGCATTTCGAATTTGGATGGCATAAGCCATAATTACTAATCCAGGTAATCCAACGATTCTAATCAAGCTAATGAAAAAATATTTCGTGCTGCATCGACAGGCCTCACACACCGGTCTGATCCTGCAGCTGGCTCCCTCAATCCATCATCAGGCTCATGCAATGCTGTCCATCCTCGTGCAATACCAGTGGCATGCCTTCACCATCATCACCAGCCAGATAGCAGGACACACAGACTTCGTTGAAACTATCCTCGAGAAAGTCAATCAGTTCTCCGACCCCACTGACACGTCCACCGCTAATTTCAAGTGAGTAATAAAGCAATATGTCACCATGCAGAGTATGTTGCTCCTATTCGACTAAAATTCGACAGTCATTTTTTACGTGTTGAAAATTCTCATTAACCAGCACTTGCTGGTGCAACACTTTAATTATTAACTATTCTGTATAATGAATTATTTGTGAAAAAAATATAATTATTTCAGTGGAAAAATTATAGTGGATAATTTTGGTTTTTATAAAGGCTTAAAAACTTAAATTATGTTCTCAATGCTCATAATGACATGTATTCGCCGTAATTGAAGTCATTAATATCATTATTTTAGTTATTTAAATATCACTGTTCCACTTTTATTTCCGCCTAATGGTGAATACATAACTACAGATGCAAATAAACTTTGACTCATATTTTCTAGTCAATAATAAGGACTTGATTTTTTTCTGGTTGTAATGAGCGGATGGGAAAGCGCCCCTAACCAAATTTAAATAGTTCATGTTCCTATGATCACCAGTGCTATAAAATTAACATTATACTTTAGATTTGTGGGTGGCTTTGGATCATTCAATTCGTTACAACCAATCAAAGAAATGCATTAACGTTCCATGTGTTAAGGTCTCTGTTTATAATATTCCATTAGTTAAAGCTATACACAATGTCAAATTTCTTTTCGTACGATACATAAAATATCCTTAATCGTAACAAAATTATATATTCAAGTTGGTTATAGGTTAATTAGTCTTAGAATTTTTTGTGCTTTATCAATTATCTATACATAAGATAATTTTACCTTACTTTGCCCAATGCACGTATCGCAGATTATAGAACCATATCCTGTTAAGTTTGATCTCCCTTCTTTCCTTCTAACTAAATTTATTCTTTAAATGTCTTCTCGATTTCGTATACAGGATCCACTCTTTCATTCTGATTTTACTTTTTACCTGTGTTGCAGATTCAGATCAGAGACAGGAACATTACATCTCTTTTTGTTCTTTAATTGTACATAATATCACAATCACCGACACGACTTCTCGATCTTATTTCCTCCTACACGTTTTTTGCAGATTTACAGTCTCAAATGCGATTCCTCGTTTATAATTTATATTCCATGATTATTCGCAGATTTACAATCACTGACACAACTCTTCGGTCTGATTTACTTTTGTAGCGAATTCATAATATTGACAAGATCCATTTATATATTTTACTCGCCCGTGTGCGTGTCAGGTTAGCAATTATGGATATGATTCCTCGATCTGATATAATCCTTCACAGGTTCACAATCATCTGATTTATTCCTTCACTGGTGCCGCAGGCTAACAATCATCTAATTTATTCAATCACGTGTACCGCAGGTTCACAATCATCTGATTTATTCAATCACGTGTACCGCAGGTTCACAATCATCTGATTTATTCCATCACGTGTACCGCAGGTTCACAATCATCTGATTTATTCCATCACGTGTACCGCAAACCGCAGGTTCACAAACATCTGATTTATTCCATCACGTGTACCGCAGGTTCACAATCATCTGATTTATTCCATCACGTGTACCGCAGGTTCACAATCAGCTGATTTATTCCATCACGTGTACCGCAGGTTCGCAATCATCTTATTTACTCATGCACGTGTACCGCAGGTTCACAATCATCTTATTTACTCCATCACGCGTACCGCAGGTTCACAATCATCGACACCATCACGGTGGAGCGAGCGGAGGATGACCTGACGCGCGTCAAGAACAGCGAGGCGCGCATTCTGCTGCTGTACTCGACCAAGGCGGAGGGCGAGGAGATTATGCTTGCTGCTGAGAGCCTCGGACTGACGGGCAAGAACTACGTCTGGATTGTGACGCAGTCGATCATTGGTGAAAACTTGGAGGGCAAGAACGCGTTTCCTGTTGGCATGCTTGGTGAGTATTGGAAAAATAGATAAATGGTTTACATTAGGCTATACGTCAACAATTTATCACAGCATTACTTTCTTCATATTAATATAAAAATCATATTATAACGACTGGATAATTTTACTCAATAGTTCTGCTTATAAATCTGGGCACCGCTCGTCTCTAAAAGTGAACAACTGGTACATTGACAATGCCCATAGTTGGTTTGTTTACTGCCTGCTCTACTTGTACTGCCTCACCCAAAGGCAGGTCCTTGCAGCTGATGTCTTCAATCTTGTTACTTCTAAATTGAATTTGTAAACTGACAGTACGAGCGCTGCTGAAGGTATTACACCATGCACGCCGTACGGTTCATAGTAAGCTTCTAAGCTAAATTTTCGATTTTACGTGACAAAAGACAAAATGACCGAGAAAAAAAATCCGGAAATTTATGCTCCGGATCATAAGTTGAATGCAAAATTTTACATGATTAAGAGGTTGCATTGATGTATCCAAATCTAGTATTTTCAGCTCAGAGGCATTTACACGTGATCCGTGTAAATGTAAAATCACGTGATCCTCAGAGGCACGTGATCCGTGATTTATGAGGAATGAACTCCGCGTATAGATTGGAACGGGATCCGTGTATTACCTGAAACACGATCCATGTGCTATCTGGAGTTTTATCTGTGTACATGGGAACTGGAACGACAAAACCACCACCAAAGCAAAATGGACTGCTAGAGTTCGAGTTTTGGACGTTATATTTCCCGTAGATACGTAAGGATCTAATTGAAATGGGACGCGTGTTGGCAAAACTAGTGTTAAAATTCAGTGCTTATAGCACTATTTGAACAACTAAAAATTCGCATAATGCCGAGCTTATTGCTTCATCAAGCATGGAAGCCTCGAATATGGTGTCGGATGAAACTTCTGTTCTGCAAATAAATGCCTCGTGAATTTTAATGCGGTATTAAAAGATCAATTGAAGATTGGATTTCTACGCGCTCGGCCTGCCGTATGGCTGCACGGGTATAGAATTAATGGCTCATATCATGATTTTTTTAAATCCGCGGAAAATAATTAGTTGCAATAAAGTTGCGTCATGAGACGAAAAGGAAGCTTTCGCTAGGACTTAAAATCCACAGAATCAACTCGGTGAATATTCAACTTACCTCAAAAATTGTGTTTTGTACCATTCCACGACAATACTCGCTATTTATATTATTCTTTAGGGTACTCGAGGAGCTTCTTTTATAGGAGGATCATCACTCATTCTCATGAAGTCTTTTCCACGCCGATGAAAACTGATGATTATAATACGTTAAAATATTTCCCTAAATTTTGTTAATGTTTCGAATGGAATTTCCATACCATCCATTTCAGTTCCCTTCTAAGTCAGCAAGACAACTTATTTAGTGTAAATTATTACTACTCTACCTTAATGAAACTGCTTATTCAAAATAGACACTTTTCGGTTAAATTCTTCCCGCGACAAGTTCAGCTGAATACGAGTTAGATCTATGAGGAGTCGGAATAAAACTCTGCAAATGACGGGCTCAGCTGGTGGAAAATACTCAGGATGAAATGTTCTATCTGAAGTCTGCACTCGTTTTAATCGTGAAAATATTAAATATTTTAATCGCGAATATAATCATGGTTAATGCTTGTCACTAGTTTCATTTCTTAATTGCCTCGAGAGGAGATGGCTTTTTTTTATTTAAGCCCTGAAGTTGAGCCAAAGGAGGTGCAATTACTTTGTTTCTCTTTCCATTAATACGGAAAAAAATTCCGTTTTTAAATTACCAAAATTAAAAACTAACATAGTTCGTTTAGTTCTTTTTCACACTTAGATTTTATAGGTCACCGGAATTTCTAGGTTTTTGTATATATGTCTAACAGATCTTTCTTGGTTTCTCCACACATGCAGAGGCACAGTTTGAAATGTTCCATCTGAATATTTCTTCGGTTTGAATCACCATTATGCAATGAACAAAATGATTTGTTGAAATACATAGAAACAAAGTAAGGTTTGATCAAGGCAAAAAGGCTATGAACATATTTGGTTCTAATATCCCTGTATAGGAATTTTTAGTATGAAATCTAGCATTTGAAGGCATCTTTTATAGAAGAGTGGACTCAAGCCTCTCTCTGTAGGAAGCCTTGAAATGTTATCTCAATATCTCCATGACGTCTTATATTGGAGTTTAAGATGAGTAGAAGAGAAGGAAGAGCCACTAAAGAAACGAGGGAAATGATGAGAAAGATCTGCGCTAGTGAAAACAGACCAGCTATGAGGCCTTGCGATCTAACGGAATTGCCAGTCCGTAATTAAAGACGAATTAAATTGAGCTCGGGTCGACGTTTGGCCAATCCGGCCAGGGACCGCAGTCGGAACGATGGCAGGAGTGCTAGCTCTCAGCTCCATTGTCTCCATTGTCTGGGAGTTATTAAAATTATCAAATTTATTATGTTTACCATTCGCTAAAAACAAGCTAAATATCTCAGAGATGAATAGATGAACTAATGTTGTGCAGAACCACTGTTTCTATTCACAATTTCTTCTGAAATTAATTACTGGTACCTGAACTGAAAATGAAGTTAACGGTAGCGTGAATGTTTAATGTTATGGAAGTGTAAGGGTTATAAATTTGGAAACCTCGTGTGTCAAAGCCGCGACTTTTATCAAATTTGTGGAAATATAAAGCACTGGCAAATATTAAACAGCTCATATTCGGACTAGAACTCACACGGGGCGGTAGATTTACTTGCGGCATTAATGTTATGTTCTTTTGAGAACTCTGTGTGAGCATCTAGATTTTAGTACTCGCGATTAGGATGAGGCATTAATCCGTAAAAGCCTTCTAAATTGCCTAAAAGTTAAGTTAGAATTTTTTAATAAATGCGCAGATGGATTATATTTAACATATATAGTTACGTAAGTGAGTCGCATTCCCCAATTGAGAGTCAGCCAAATTAATTAAATTAATCATAAAAATAATTCATGTAGATGCAAGTTGTAATTGGCCATGTCTTGACGATAGATATAGCGGTTCTTCATCATTAATTTCAGTTTTTGTTATTAGAATGGCGTTACCATTTGCTTATAATAAAGACCTAGATGCCTGGACAAAGCTTGGTTTGACTCCGTCAACCTTCATATTAAAAGCTGATATCGTTGTTGTAATAACCCAGCAAAATTTCATAGTCTTTCTGATACGCTTTATCTTTCAAATTAACCATTCGGAACTCAAATTTTTTTCACAAAACCAAGCACAGTTTCAGAATATTGGCACCAGCATAAAATTATAGATGTCATTGCAGTATTTGACATGCGCTCAATCAAGAAGACGTGATAGTTAATTCTAGAATGATAGAATTTTACGTTTACGTTCACGCAGTTTGCATCTGCATCGAAACTCTTCGTGTCGGTATTTAGTTATTAGCTCAAAATTAAGGGATATCATCGTGATTTTGGTTGATCGAAATTTTAATCAACATAATAATTTTTATTGTCAATTATGAAAAGCTTGGATGAAGCTATGCAGCAGCTGATGCGATGGGATTTAGAGGCTAATTAGCAATTTGTGCGAGAGCTTTCACGGGAAATTTCATTCGAGCCTTTTACTGTTCATAGCGATTATGTTAGCTTCATCATATGCTCGAGCAAGGTATGAATTCTGTAGCACAGTTCCATAGAGAAATCTACTGTGGGCGAACCAACAAATGTTCATAAACGATTCCTTGAAATATCACTTGCACTTCTTTGTATTAAATTGATTCAAGTGAAGATAGCCTGCAGGTCAGGAGCATGTATAATTATAAATTTATTTAATCATTCAAAATTTCTTTAAACTTGTTTCACTACAAGTTTTTTCGTCATCTTACATATCTAGAGAGATTGTCCCAATTGAAATTCTTAATCAGAAACATTATTATTATGATTATTAGCTTTCCATATATACATACGTGGTTACGTCGCAATTTTCAAACTAAGCTTCCCGTCGTCAAGTGCACATATTAACAAATTTTTGAAAAAGTTATTCGAATTGTGTAAAAATTGTACCAACTAATAATGTTGTAAAACTGTATTCAACATATTAGGGGATTAGTCGTACTTTCTTCTCAAACTTTCTTACGCTCTTGCACGTTGAAAAATATGAGTGATAATTGCGCTTAAATGTGTGCGCAACTTTGTTGCGGCTTTACTAATGTAATTCGTGGAGAAAATGCATTAAATTATGTTCATTAATGATCAGCAGTTACTTCTAAATAAACTGATACTTCCGCAGGAAGTTTGGCTCAATAGCACACGAGCGAAAAATTGAAGTTTGTAAAGATATAATCTCAAGAATTGAGTCCGCTACTTATTGCATATTAGTATAGTTAGGCAGAAGTTTTTCTTTTATGCAAGTTTTATTGAAGACCGGAGCGTATTTCCTATTAATAATTTTCTTTAATTTTAATTAATGATTTGTTTTCGGAGTAATTTTAAGATTCAATTTTGTGTTTTATCCATTATACCCTTCGTAAGTAATGTTGTCATTCCAAAATTTCAATTTCAAGCGTTGTAAAACACTTTATTTTCTTGATAATGAACATGGAATATTCGAAACGTCGTAAAGTCAAATAAAATTTCATTTAGAAACCTTAGGTATGTATAATCGAACTTTCAAATCCCTCAAAAAGCCTAGTTCGCAGCATCGAGAAAATTAATAAGAAAATCAATAATAAGAAAAACTCTCTGGTCTTCAATAAAATTATTGCATATTATATACCATTGTCTCGAAATCTAATTTTTAAAACGTTTTCAACATTTTTCAGTGTATTTCAGTATTATTACATGAAATGGTGAATATTATAGCAGGTACTAACTGCTAGCTATAATATTAAAAGTAAACATATTTTCATTCGAACCATATTTTCGAAATCAGTCCAATCTATCCCCGACTATCCCAATTAGCGATAATTTATTTGAAGTGCCCCATGTAAATAACTTCCACGAATGATTATATTTGTATCAGCTT